TTTTGAAACTTGGAAATATTTCCTAAGGAAGGAATAGAAAAAGAAATAGTGTGTTTTCATTTGTGTGTGTAAATACATAACGTGTGTATATATATATACACACACACACACACACAGAAGGATATATGTATATATTACTTAGAAGTTTGTTATATGTAATTAATAATACACATATGTTATTATATTTTTATATAATATTCAGTATGTATTTGATTCCTTCTGCGTATACTCACAGCTGCCTTTGTACTTATACACCAGATGGCACTCACAAACGCTATTTACATTCCTTTTCCCATGTGTAATTGAAATAATTGAAGAAGTCACAAAGCAAGGCTTTCAGATTTATTTACTCATTGTTATGAAGTACCCGTAGTATTTTGGAAGAGATTTAAAATTAAAATGACATGGAGATATGTTGAACTTACTGAACACTTGCTTTGGAAGTACATTTAACATGCACTTAAAAAGTGTCTGTGTTCTTTTTAGCATTCCATCATAAGTTAGTATTATTTTGGACAGATAGCTGACAGTACTGTGAGTGCGTGTGGTAATTAGAAATGGAGTATATTTGTTACAATATGCATCAGAGTGACTAATACAAATCTCATTGATATACGTAGTTGAAAATACTAGAATCTACTTTGGGCTTTTTTATTCCTGATAGACAAATAAAAAACGCTAGCAGTGCGTGGTGTAGATACTGCAACCTTTGGAGGATATTAAGAATGCAAGTAGGACCATCCTTAGTTCACTCAATACCGCTTTTTCAGTGTATCCACAGAAAATGTTACTTCAGGGCTTCTTTTCAAGGTAAATGCCTTTCCAAGTTATATCTTACTGTCAGCATTCAGAATACAGCTAGCAAAATGGATGGGACTTGATACCCAGTGGTTAATCATGCTTTTAGAAACTGTGATCTCCTTTTCTCTCCCTCTCTCTCTCCCCCTCTCCCCCCTTTCTTTTTATGAGTATGGGAGGATAGTCCCATAAACATTTAAATTTGTTCAGTGCATTTTTTCTTTATTTTAACTTTCTAATGAAGTTTCTTCTGTTTAAGTTTCTCTAACCTTAAAATGTAAGGAATTAGCTACTACACATTTTCATGTTTAATGAAGGCAATAATTAAAATATTTTAAATTATAATAATTATTTTTTTGAGGAGAATTCCTGCCAGACCTAGTTGTAGTTGCAGGGCAGGGAGGTGGTTATACTAGCCTCTGCAGAGTAGGTACAGACTACTAACACAAAGATTTCAGTCTGAAGCAAGTTTTGAGCCCTTTTGACATTATAAAGTCTTAACCTTCTGTGTTGTAAGGTGAAACCAATTATGTGTTGGAGTCTGAACTAGATACTATAACCATTCAGCTGTGAAGCAGTTAACATAGTTCACTGAAAGTATGTTGGAAGCTATCTGAGCAGAACATCAAGGAATTCAGATATTGCACACCACCACATGAGTTTGTTTATCATAGGTTCTGTTGTATTCATGAATACTCTGTCATATGTGAATAGTGACTAGAAAGTGTCAAGAACAGTGTTTAGAAATATAAGATGTTTTATGTTAATTGTTTGCTGAAGATATGTTGAGGCAAGACAATCCTGTTCTCAGTTACTTATGACGTTTTCAGAGTTTGTCTTTTGCTTAATATCGTTGGTGAAAGTTACAGAAGGAGTAAATGAGGACATATAACAAAAATTTGCAGGATGAGTAATGAAATGTTCCTGTGAGGACCCGCAACTATGAGGGGGAATAGGCAGAAGAGTTGAATACTGGAACACTTTTCTGCAAAAGTTAGCAGAGAACTTGTATTTGGCTTGTGTGGCAAGGTTTTGGTAGCAGGGGAGCTGCAGGGGTGTCTTCTGTAAGAGATCCCATGTTGGATGGAGCCAGTTCCAGCCAGCTTCAAGATAGACCTGTTGCTAGCCAAAGCTGAGCCAGGCGGTGATGCTGGTGATGCCTCTGCGGTAACGTATTTAAGAAAGGGTAAAAAACACTGCACAGCAGCTATGAGAGAGGAGTGAGAAAAAGTGAGAGAAAAAACCCTGCAGACACCAAAGTCAGTAAAGAAGGAGGGGCAGGAGGTGCTCCAGGAGCAGACTCGCCTACAGCCTGTGGTGCAGACCATGGTGAAGCAGGTTGTCCCCATGGAGCTCCACGGTGGAGCAGATCTCCACCTGCAGCCCGGGGAGGGATGCCACACCAGAGCAGGTGGACATGCCTTGATAGAAGCTGCAGCCTGATGCTGGAGAAGGCTCCTGGGCAGGAACTGTGGCCTGTGGAGAGGAGCCTGTGCAGGAGCAAGCTTTCTGGAGGGACATGTGGCCCATGAGGGGTGGCAGAGATGAAGTATTATGAACTGACCACAACTCCCACTCCCCATCACCCTGCGCTGCGTTGAGTCAAATTTCGAAGCTGCTATCACCAATAAAATTGTATGATACAGGAATTAAAATCTTTAACAACTGTACTTCTACATTGCCCTGAGAAATAATTTATGAATTTCAAGAGTTTGACATGTTTGGTTTTTTTCTTTAACTGTGTTACTAGCTTTTTCTTCCACCTATAAGCACGAAAAGAACAAGAATAATAGATAAAAGTATACTTTTTGTGTTTACAAAGTCCTTTTCAGTTTCACAAGCTCCAGAAAGTCAATTACAACTGTGAGAGGAGGGAATATGTACAATGTAGTTTAATTAGAAGAGATGACTGGGGGAGCTAGCAAAGATCTTTCTAGTTAGATGAGTCAGCACAAGTAGAAGAATGACTCCCAGCTGTGTTCATTTGCAGCTGAAATAATGAACAGAAATAAATGAATAGGCAAAAGATCAAATCTAGTGAAAAGCTAACTTACCTGTTTTCAAATACAAGATGGCAATTTTGGATTGCATTTCTAGATGTGTACAGAGTAAATGATGATTTGAGAAAGAAAACAGTTTCAGGCTCACAGATCACAGTTGGGAGCTGCACTACCTGGGGAGAGACTAATGATCAAAGTAGTAGTATTTTAGCTCTGTGTTGGCTTTCAGTGTTAAATAAGTGAAGATACTTTTACAGAGGATCTGTTACAGGTTAAACAACTGAGTAACATATTGCTGTACTTTGAGTATGATACTACTTCTAGAAATACCAATTAACTTTCTTTAAATAAATAAATAGAACAGTATATAAACATTCAGGGAAAAAAAGTTGAATATCATTTTCATTGGCGGAGTAAGTTCTGTAATGAAAATGAATATACTATTTCCTAAAGATACTGTATGCTGGATATGATACATAACTAATGCAGGAGTGTGTCAGACTTGTATAAAGGTTCATGAGATAGTTCCTCTGTTCCCAAAAGAAGATGATAGTAGATTTGAAGTCTGTGTGAGACTTTCCATTCTTTCAATTTTGATGCTTTGTTGCACTACTGAGGATGCTCATGTTCTGTTTGAGGGACAATGCCAAGAAGATGAAATGGTTGCCTGTTTTATTTGGTGATTCCTGTGGAAAACTCCAAAATTCAGAGAATTATTCTTGCTTCCTTGTCAACGCTGTTTTGGTTTATGCATTGATTTCGAATATCAAATACTGTTAAAGTACTGCTGGTAGGCCGGTAGAGAACTTTGCTATGATTTTTTAAATAGCTACTATTGGCTCAAAGCACATAACAGACTTTTGGATACTGTGAATCACTGTTGTTGGATGATGTACTACAACCAACAGAATTATTAAGGCATAATTTTCCCTTGTGAACTTCTAGCTTTTATACTTTGTCAGTTTTATAGAATTTGAAGATGAAATTGCAATTCAATTTCATAATACAAATCAAAATTAAAAAAACATGTAGATATAGTCAAGAAAGTCCATATGGCCACCTTTTTTTTTCTTTTTTTTTTTGAATAAAAAGAAAAAAGTCTCAAGACACATAGAAATGAACTGGTATTCATCCCTTTAAGGCGAAGTTCAAATTTGAAATCAAGTCAAGAAAACTTAATATTTCAACACCAGTGAAAACTTTTTTTAGGATGGTTTTGGGCATAGTTGCTCAGCTTTCCAATTGGTTTTCATCAAGGAATTATTCAAACAATAGCAGTTGAGACAAAAAGTCCTTCACCCTGGTTTTCTGTGTACATAGTGGTTACATGAAAACAATTTTACCTAGCAACTTTCTTTTAAAATATATATTGGCAATTTTCTTTTCCTGAATCTGTCTATATAGAAAACCATAAAAAATGAGTTGAGTGGAGGGATTGTTGACCAAGTATTCAGAAACATTGCTGCATATTTGAATAATCTCTTTATTTAAAAAGACTGATCACTTTGGGGTTAAGGTGGAGATATCTTTCTCATTATTTCAAACTATATATTATAGAGTTGGAATCCCAAAATTAAAAATCTAATTAGAGTTAATACATTCAAACAAGTACATGGAAATACCCTGCCATTTTAGCTGTATAGCTAGTGTGTTAGATTTTGATTCATGATATTAACTGTAACCTTGGGTTCAGAGCAGTTATGACTCCATTGAAATAGACTTTGGATTTCTTATGCTGCTGGAAGGTATTATTCTGAACTTCTAAAGATCAGATACTTACTGTGTTACTGATTAGGGTCGAAATTTTCATATTTCCTACATTATTTGTGATAAAATTGTAAACTTATGAGAAAAAAAGTCACCTTAAAAAAACCTCGTGTGGCACATTTTGGCATTTAAGATCACTCTTTTAAAGCTACTTGGACTTACGCAATAAAGATGTAACTTCAGGGGCACTAGATAGCAAGTAGAGAGCAATTGATGCAGTAATGGCTATAGAGTACACTGTTAAGAGACGGGGACTCAAAGTAGGACTGTGCAGTGTGATGATTTACTACTTAACTGGAAGCAGACCTAGGAAATATAAAAATAAGACACAACCACCTTAAGAAAACATAGAAAAATACATGGATTGAGATAAATAATTGAAGGAAAAGAAACTTCCCCTGCCAAACTTACACTTGTATATGGTCTCTTCTTCAGGATAACTACACGTTTGCACAGCCAGGAATTCAAAAGAAAGTGAAAATGTTGGAAGAACTTGTTAGTCGGATTGATGGTGAGTCTTAAAAGCTAACCTAATTTCTAACTGGTGTTTCCTTGAAAGTGTTTAGTTAAAATGTTTGAAGCAAGCCAAGCCAACATCACTGCAGTTACCTACAATGGTGGCGTAACATCGCCTTTCTCAGATGAGGTGTCATACTCGATCAATCTGTGGCACATTGGCTTTTGCAAGATCACTGTCGTGTATCATTTGAAAGAAAACCACTAGAGCGTGAGCCACTTTCATTACTTTTTATTAAGGCAATATAATCAAAATTCAATGGCAATTTCTTTGCAGCAGAGTAATGACCACGTACAAAAGGCAGCCAGTGTTCATTTCACATTAAGCTCAGTGATTGTTGTAATTCGGCCGAGTCACAGTGGTTGTTTATGGTTGTCCTTCGGCACTATGTTTTGTGCCTTTGTGCATCATTTTGCTATCTGGAATGCCTGAATAATTTCTCTGTGGAAACCAATTAATTATGAACTCTGGAAATAACATCTTTAATATTATAGATAAATTACAGTGTGTGCAGGGGTAATTTTAGATTATGCTTTCATGTTTTAGCAGGGCACTTTGAAATATTTTCTACCTTCATCCTTAAAATAATTCCCTTCATGAAATGCTGACTGTCATATTGCTAGAACAGAGTTTAATTAAATGAAATGCAAGAGATAATGCTTGCCCATTCTAAACATACTCTCTTGATAGTTTGTTAAATTAATGAACGGAGTATTAACAAAATGTTGCCAAGTAGAACCAGGCATATATTTGCGACACTAGCCTGTCGATGAGAGAAAAATATTTTTTGGGTAGCTTAATATTTGATAATATCCTTGGAAAGATTAATTACACATACTGTGAGTTTTTCTTGTGCCAGTGCTTACCATAGCAGATTTCGGTTGGCTGGCACATATTTACATCCTGAATATTTGATAATGCTCTTTGTGCCCTATTAGGATGATACAGTATTTTCAATGTTCAAAAACTAAGGTCACGAGGAAAAATGTTTATGTAATATTACACTATAAATGTAAATGTATGTAAAATTTTTTGTGTGGATGTATTTTTTGTTTAAAATGTAAATGAATATGAAAAATATAAGGTGACAATTCTGTATATAAGGTAGCAAATTTTTTATAGTAAAATTATTTTTTAAGCAATGTATTTTATTACTTGAAATGAACTACTTGTAGTGTGACTTTTTATGTCATTTTATGCTTATATCAATATTGGTGTCTACATTTCAATAATTTATAGAAGCAAATAATTGTATATTAAATAAATTGCATAATTATAATGCCTATAAATAGACTTCCTGAACTTGGTCGATGAACATTTATATAAACAAATTATTTAACCAAGTTTTAAAAATGTAAAATACCATTCTGATAGTAAACTTCATTGTTTTGATTAATAAAAATATTAAATATAATACATATATTATTGTTTCTTTTCTAAGAAAGAAATGCTGAAAGCTTATTTGTACCTTCAGTGCTTTAGGGATATAGTTAAATAACTTTTCACAGTGGTTAGGTTTGGAAGGCATTGTTTTTAAGGCTTTACATTTAAATTTAAAAAGAAGACAGGCAATTGTAGCAAGTAAATGTGTTTTCTTAAACTGTGCTTTGCCAGGCTTTGTAACCAAAAGTGAAGTGTGGGTACAATTTTTATCTGATTTAAAATAATTTTCTCAGGCCTTTATAAGACTGTACTTAATAGGACATTGTTGAAGTAGTTCCACATCAAAAACTGTAGTTGTTTATTTTTCTGTCTAAATGTAGATCCAATTTTTTCTTCAATGTTTTTTGATCTAAATTTTATAGTATTTAGTAAAGGAGGGAACCAATATAATGTATATTTTGCTTTGAGCTATATGTTATGGCAGATATTTGAATCAATGTCTGTAAATGTAGATAACTGCCAAGATTTTTTAGAAATTAAGATGGATATGTAACAATACCTTTTCTGGTATTGGTAGTTGTCCAAACCTCTACTCTTGCCTCTGTCTATCTAAGGGGACAGAGCCAACTTAGATCAGGCTGTGTAGAGTCTTGCCCTGTTGAGTTTTGAGTAACTCCGGGAATGGAGCTTCCAGAACCTCCTTGGGTAAGACTGTTCAAGGGTTTGACTGCTGTCACTGTGATAATTTTTTTTTTTTAATATAAATAATTAGAATTTTTTTTATGGAACCAGTGTCCACTACCTTTAATTTATCTGTGTACCTCTGAGAAGAATCTGTCTCCGTCTTCTCTACATGCTCCTGCTACATAGTTGTAGCTGTTCATAGACTTTTCTTTTTAAGGCTGAACGAACCCAGTTCTGTCAGCCTCCTTTCATGTGTAAAGTGCTCCAGCTTCACAAGTACCTTGGCTGCCCCCCACTACACTTGCTCTTGTATGCCAGTGTCCCAGAATTTGACATAATGCTGTAGACATGTTCTCACAAGTGGTGAACACCGAGGAAGAATCACTTCTCCTGACTTGTTGGCTTCTCTTGCTTAGAAAGCCCAGTGTACTCTTGGCCTTCCTTTCTGCAAGGACACATTGCTGACTTGTGTACAGCAGGTCCACCAGGACCCCCAAGTCCTCCTTGGCAGAGCTGCTTTCCAGCCAGTTGGTGCCTGGTCAGCATTGTTGAATGAGACTATTCCATCCCACATGTAGGATGTTTGCATCTCCTGAACTTCATGAGGTTCCTATCAGCCATTCCTTCAGCCTTCCAAGGTCCCTCCAAATAGTAGCCCTGACTTTCAATGTCAGCCACTCCTCCCGATCTGGTATTATCCACAAACTCAGAGACTCCACTCTATGCCATCATTAGTTGTTAATAAAGGTGTAGCACAGTATTGACCCCTGAGGGATGCCATTAGTAATTGCCTGTCAATTGGACTTCGTACTGCTGATCACAATCCTTATCATAGTTATATTGTCCAGTTAAAGTTTTGTATAGTAAAAGATATGCATTTTTTAATATTAGGGCTGTCTCTTTTTGTCTAAAAGACTGTCCAGTTACTTTCTTTTGCCAGAAAAATACACCAAAGTACGTGTAAGATGAAAATTAAGTTTCAGTTGTTAGACAGGCAATGGTGGATATGTACTGCTGTCATTTCATAAGATTTTGGCTGCCTCAGATAAGGGATCCTGACCTGTTTGGCTTTTTGATGGAATCATGACATAGTTTGATTAAATTATATTTTCTTGTGCTTTACTCTTGTCCATTTCCTTTTGCTTTTGTCTTTTTATCTTTATAATGGGTGTGCTATACTGTAGCTAAACGGAAATGTATGGTTTATATGAATGCAGTAACTTTGTTTTTAAAAAAGAAATCTCATGATCTATATTTACTGTAAATATCCTAAGTGCTAATTAAGATTATTGTGAAAGAAAATAATATTCCTGTTGCTGCTGTGTCACATTATTTTCTTAATGCTGGGTAACTGCATGGTGAAGAGAATCTTAATGTAATAAAGCAGCTGCATGAGAGGATGAAGCTTGTACAGCTTGTTTGCTAATAGTTACGGATTACTAGTGTATGAAAAGTGATGTTCGCCTTTCAGAGTGTTAATGCATTATGTGATTCAAGCAACCTTCATTAACCCAGCCTTATGGATCACAGCGCCTCTCGAAGTAACTGTCCTTGTGTGTATACTGCAGAATGTTGCAGTAGACTTCAAACAGCCAAGCTACTCTGTTAATTTCATCATAATCTCAGTCTGTTTACACTCCAAAAAATAATTTTGATGAATCATGTGTTTAATGGAATTTTTGAGTTTGTTAATAGAACATTGCTATAGACCAGATGGAATTTGAAGATAAAGCATTATTCAGTCTCATTTATCTCCTTGTCATCATCATTCAGATTGTTCTGGGAATTATACAAAAATATTGAGAGGGAGGTTCAATAGATAGCCCAATAATATAAGGAATCTGTTATAACTAATTATCTTTTCTGTTTCCTGTAATGTCAGTAGAGCTTTTCTGCTCGAAATCATGAACCATCTCTCATGGTTTGTAAAACATCATGCTCATGTGACATGCTGTCTTCCATTGCTACTTCATTTATGCTTGAAAGCAAAGAAATGTGGTGTTTCCAAAATTAACTCAGGCTTTGTGTTGGTAGGTGTTTAGCATTGGGCTTGTTTCATGCTTGGGAGAGTCTCAGCTTCTTCAGTTTACTGTAAGACATCGGGTAATTACATTAGAGTTTGAAGTAGCCTTTGGAAAAGACTGAGCATTTGTAGATAAAAGTAGTCTTGGGTTTCCATAAACATTGATAAAAGATGTTAAAATTGCATAGTGTTCTCTCTAAATGAGCAAGAAGGCAGTTGTAGCAAAAAGTAAAACAGCCATGTCATCATCATTCAGATTGTTCTGGGAATTATACAAAAATATTGAGAGGGAGGTTCAATAGATAGCCCAATAATATAAGGAATCTGTTACAACTAATTATCTTTTCTGTTTCCTGTTATTTATGTTAGCTTCTCATTAGCATTACAGTAAACTATAAAAGCAGTATCGACAACTCCACTTAATATAAATATTCTGCATCTTCTGTAAAGGTAAGTTTGGGAAGTTTTTCCCCCTACATCTTTTAGATGCAACCCCCTGGAGTTGTTCTGTGTTATGAATACCCTGAACTGTGCTTATGTTTTCTTGTAGTTAAATAAATTCTGTGTTACCAGTATTCCAGACTCTTCACCAGTCTTCCTGTTGAATTGGCCCTTGAATCTCAGTAATAAGAAATGGAAAGATAAAAATGCAGAAAAATTATAAAAAAACCCCACAAATCTGTTACTGTATATATACAGCTGTTACTGTATATATTTTTCCCCTTCTTTTGAAAACGGACGTAATGGAAAAATACCTAAGAACATAAAGAGAGTGCTGCATTTTCACTTTCCCATAAAGAAGTTCATTTAGACTTCAGTTATATTTTTCAAAGGTTCAGTAATATTTCAGTATTTCTGCTGTGTCCACTATGAACACATCATCTGGCCATCTGTTTTGGAGAGT